CCAATCCCCCGTCCCCTCGTCCTCCCCACCATTCCCCACTCCCTCGTCCGATGCCTTCCCAAATGGTCTGATGTTCCCATCAGAAAATTGGGAACATCAAGTGATCTGATGTTCCCATCACTGAAATATAAGAAAAAGTTAAAAATGAAATGAAAATATGAAATAATGAAAAAAACTATACTCAGGAAATGAACGGTATGGTAAACAACACAGCTCACTTTCAACGCAATTCACACAAAAAATAAATCAAAATGAAAATAAATAAAAATTATGAAAATTCAATTTATCAATGTAATCAGAAACATTGAAATGGAATTGTCACATATTTAGTATAACATGTGTGTTGCTCTTACATGCAACAGATGGCGTTGTTTTCCCAAGAAAAGCATAGCTTTACCTGTCACAGGTGTGGCATCTATACTTATACTTACGAAATGAACGGTATGGTAAACAACACAGCTCAATTCCAACACAATGTCACAAAATAATTCAATAAAAAATAAAAAATCGAAATCTATGAAAATAAAATTTATCAGTGCAATCGGAAACATTGAAATGGAATTCGTGACATTTAATATAGCAAGCATGTTGCTATTATGTGCAACAGTTGGCACCGTTTTTCAAAAACGCATGTTTTTACTTGTCAGAGGGGTGGCATCTATACAGTAAGTATATAAAAAGACCCGCCTATTCGAATGCAACGTTGTGTCAAAATTTCAAAGCCATCGGTAAAGAGGTTTCGAAGATTTCCCTCACATGAAAAACAGTTTTTCAGAAACAAAACTTTTTTACAGTCATAGACGTGACATCTATATAGTTAAGTATATAAAAACCTGCTCGGATGCGAATGGAACGTTGTGTGAAAATTTTAAAGCAATCGGTAAAGAACTTTCAGAGATTAGCGGTTACACAAAAACGAACATTTCCATTTTTATTTATAGAGATTGTGGAAATTTAGCTCTGTTAGTTTAGGGATTTAGATTGTGTTAGTAATTATTTGTATTTGCAGTACATTGGTGAAACATTTATATAGATGCGACTTGAACACAAGTTTTCAGCTGTTAGAGAAGTGTTTGAACGTCATCATTTGTCAGAAGTTTTAAGCGTTTTTCATTTATTTAGAGAAGATTTGGCGGCTGCATGAACATGTAGCGAGTAGATTATCCCAATAATATACTCGCTCCAAATGCATTGTTAATATTCCTGTCAACCTTTGGAGATGAATGAGGTGAGGCGTTGCCCGGGCAACACGGTGAGGTGTTGCCCGAGCATATAAGCAGCAGAATAGCAAACATTAACAAGAGTCTACTTTCAAGTGTGGTCTAGAGCAGACACTTGCGAGATACTGTACCGACGCTCAGTGCGCTCAACTCACACCAAAGTATCACCAGTATCAAAGTAGTGTTGTATCAAAGTACAACAAAGTGTACTTCTGTATATTTCGACCAAATATATATATAGTATCTTAGTGTCTGTTTATTTGTCACCATACTTTACGTAACAATAGAACCGTTTGGCCTTGGTGCATCAATTATGGAGCTCCTTCAATTATCCTGGATGTCGTTCTTGCAGGAGAATGCGCCACTCCAATATGTAAAGTAGCTCACCGTATGTGTAAGTTGCTTAGCTGGCACACTACTTGTCGTCGTTCTCGAACACATTGTCGATACAATTTATTAAATTATAACAGGCTTATGAAGACTAACTTGCTTTGCTAAATGAATTTTGTGGTTCAGTTCTAGAGCCAATTATGTGCCTCTAACATTTTTCACTACCGGATGGGTATGGGGTGCATAACATAACTAAAGGACCGTGATTAAAAATATAGAAACCAGGGGCCAGATTCACGCAAACACTTACGAACCTGTCCATCTTTTCTCAATCTTTGGCGGCTCTGTTTCCAATTATTAAACAGTTAATGAGCCCCGAAGCACCAGGAGGCTGTTTATAACAATAACAGTTGAATGGGAAGTTTTCATGCTCGTAAACAATTTAATAAATGTAACCAAAGCCGTCAAAGATTGAGGAAAGATGTACACGTTCGTAAGTGCTTGCGTAAGTGCTTTCGTGAATCTGGCCCCAGTTCTACATTACTGTAACTTGCTGGAGCCCAGTGTGTTAGCGCACTCGTGTGGAGCAGATCACACATTGTTGCTCCCACAGTTTAATGTTAAGACATTGAGTCTCATCTTGGGTCGTGTTGAACGATTGGTCTCCATTAGTTTCCCTCTGATCATCCAGTAATAACTGGACACCTGGATATAAATAGACTGGAGGATCGTGTTCGGAGAGAAAAGATGGCGCCGAATCTTACAGGTTCCAGTAACTAGTAAGGGTTCCAGTAAGTAAGGGAGCCGGTCGGCCGAGCGGACGCACGCTGGACTTGTGATCCTGTGGTCCCGGGTTCGAACCCGGGCGCCGGCGAGAAACAATGAGCAGTTTCTTTCACCCTATACTCCTGTTACCTAGCAGTAAAATAGGTATCTGAGTGTTAGTCAGCTGTCACGGGCTGCTTCCTGGGGGTGGAGGCCTGGTCGAGGACCGGGCCGCGGGGACACTAAAACCCCGAAATCATCTCAAGATAACCGCAAGATGACTGGTCCAAGCTTCTCTTGCGTTAGGAAGACGCTCCCATCGTCTGCCTGAACGTTCACACCTCCTACACTGAGGCACACAACTTGAGCGGGATATAACAGGTTAATAATTTACGAAAAATTTAATGTACAGATTTAGTATACCTATATAGCCTTAAGGGGTCATGGTACCCGAAAATCCGATGAAAAATGGAATATTTACGAAAATTACGAAAAATACTACAACGTTCTGGCATCACTGTGGTCCAAACCGTTTAATGATATCTTGAAAAATAACGTAATTAGAGTCAAATTTCCCGCTGCAACTTTCGTGAATCTGGTCCTCGCGGCATGAGTGCACCGCGGGGTATTGTATCTTACGTTGTAGAAGTCTTATTTTTCGTAATAGCGTTGAAAATAACATGTTATGCATAAAATGAATATAAACTCACTCATTGGCAACAGTATCGTGTGAGAGAGAGGGTGGTACGTGGCTCAGGCCCCTCAGTGACTGTGTGTCTCTCTTGGAGAGAGGATGTATGCTGACGCGCTCTCACAATATCTCCCAGAACATGCTATTTTTGCTATTTGTACTGCAATATGACTTACCAAACGAACAAGAGAAAAGCATTGAAAGCTAGATGCATGCGAGCTCTCCATAGAAGGTATGAGCTGGCTCATACTCGCGGTCACGAGTGACCGCGAGTAGAGTAACTTGTCGCGCGCGCTACGCAACTCCAACTTTTACAAGTAGATCTGGTTTCACAGCCTTTATTTATTACTCAATTTACATGAAACTTGCACATTATATGTAGAGTTTACGCCTCTAAAAACGGTTGATATTTTTCTTATCTACGTAGATTTATTGATTTTATAAATAATGATACACTTCATTTTGTTGCATACGTTTTTTGGAAACTTTTTAAAAATCTGTATTATTGCACTAAATACATATGGGATAAAGATCGATCAACCAAATCTTTATTATATAGTAAGGTAAGGCTGAGTGTCGTAGAAATGATTTTGGTTCACAATTGTGGGCTGTGAAAGCAATTGAACATTGTTGAAAAATTGTATAATTTTTTTTTTTCCTCCTTTTCTATTTAGGCTGAGATGCTGAAACTTGGCCTAGGTGCACCACCTTTCACATGTATCAGGATAATAAATTATGAATACCCTACAACAACTCTCATATTTCCGGTCTTATAACCCCTTAAAACTATGATCAGTGTGTTCCAGGATATCACTGACGATGTCAGTACCGGAACATCTAGGGAGCGAGTCACCCAGGATGTCAAGGCGTGGGAGGGGGGGGGGGTTACAGGACAATGATCCGCTTCGTCATTTACAATGATGAACATTAGGACATTCAATAAGGAAAGGACTAAGAAGTGGAACAATATAATTACGAGTCAAGGGCAGGAAATTGTGAACAACGTTAGAGCAAAATAGGTCTACTATCAGTGTTATTTACCACTTAACTTTCACCCATAATTTTTGTGTAACGGTTATTAAAATTGCTATACTATTTAAGGATGTACAGGCATTTATATCTAGACCAGCATTAACCAGTGGCCAAGACTGACTGATGAAGATTAAGCCACCCAAGAGGTGGCACGGGCATGAATAGCCCGCAAGTGGTCGATTTTTGGAGTGAATGATTATTGGTGGTGACGGTGGTCTGTTCTCTAGAAGGGAGGGGGAGCATGACTTTTGCTTTAGTTCAGACCAAATAGGTTCTACAGTGTAAAAGATCAATTTTTAGTGAATGTGTTACAGGTGTGAGGCGTGGCAGCGGGTTACCCGTGATTGTAACCTGGGGCTCGAGGCACTATACTGAATTCCTATGAAATCTTGCCCGACACGCAGTTAACCAGCCCCCTCCCCCCTCCCTGGCTATATCCACACCTGCTTTATCTTTTTCACATACCCTCAACGGGCGCCTTGCCGCTAAAAATAAATATTTTCATAAGTCCAACGCTGCAATGACCAAATTTGTACCATAAGCATAATCTGTATATATATAAATTTAGAGAGCAATAAGCAATTACAGTCGTGGAAGGCGAGGCAGACAGCTCATCACAGAAGGATCCTTCATTGACCAACAACTAGTCCCGTGTTCTGTAATTATCTCTAAGGTACCATCAGTTCATGCCGGAGTGTGATTACACCTCTCAGAGCGGGTCCTTATACCTCCCTCCTCCCTCACTACACCGCTCTAATAATTCACTCTTCCACTCTCATATGCAAAATGATAACGGTCTTCCCTCTTGACTACTCGGCCGGTAATTAACAACATAGTTAAGCAATGTAGCAGCCCTCTGGCCACTATATCCAAGAGCTACGTTAATACAATTTTGAATTAACGTTACTCTTGGAGACTGGGAGGTTAGTCTCCAGAAACTATAACGACGACTGTGTGCTTACTCTGATGCTGGTGTCAGCCGGCTCGGGGGTGTGGATCAATCAGGTGGTTGGTGTCAGAGGCGGCGGCGCCAAGTGGTGTCAGCAGGAGGAGCGGCGCCCAGAGACTGGACGAGCTTACTATCCCAAGCTGCACGAGCCAACGCCTACCCCCATCCCTCCCTCACCCCCCTCCCCCCAGCCGTAACTACACCCACATCGCCGGAGATTTCAACACCATCCGGACGATTTCCACTTGTTTGTTAAATTGTTTACACTTACTACCCGTCCGTAATCAAATCAAATCTCACCCTGAAGGGCAAAAAATAAATACAAGTTTATTTTAAGATCCATGATACAATATAATCCAATATCGGTCTGAAAATATTTGATTTTGACTTGAAAAATAATATGCAAGGCCTCTTGTAAACTTTATAGCGATGTTTGTCATACGGAATGACATCACTCTCTAAGAACTGAGAGAACGCTTAAGAGGTGACCTCACCCTGGAGGTTTGTGGATGTTGATGGTCTACGTCAACTTTGCGACCTTTGGCAGACTTGTCTTATGGAGAACAGATTCTTTATCAGCCACTACGGGCTCACCATAGCCCGTGCTACTTGGAACTTCTTGTTCCAGATAGCGAATCTTTAACAACAACAACATACATCACCCCACACTATACGCCTATTTGCTGACTCGTGGTGATTGATTGATGAAGATTACGCCACCCCAAGAGGTGGCACGGGCATGAATAGCCCCTAAGTGGTAAATTTTTATGAAGTGAATGTGATCTTTAGTCGTGAAATGACTCATGGTGATTGATTGATAAAGATTAAGCCACCCAAGAGGTGGCACGGGCATGAATAGCCCGTAAGTGACTCATGGGTAACTCGCTGCCATATATACTCATAACCTCGCCTCACTCACTTCTTCCAAATACACACTCCCGCAACGTATTGTTTTTTCATAATATTATTTTTATTGCAAAGGCCAAGTTGCCGACTCAACATGAAGAAAGAGTGAGAGAGCATCGTCAGCACTGTTGTTCAACACTGATGAGTAATACATCTGCCATGTCATATAACCCTGGCTGCTGCTCTCTCCTACTCATCACACACTCGTATATAAGGGTGATGAATATGAGAGTTCATCTTAATGGCTATTCATGTTCGTGTCACCTCTTGGGTGGCTTAGTATTCATCAATCGAGAGTTCATTCTCGACCACATTCATCACACATGAACCACAATCATACATTAACCACGAAGCTGGAAAAAGTTCAGATGTATGCCACTAAGCTAGTCCCAGAACTAAGAGGCATGAGTTCCGAAGAAAGGTTGCGTGAACTGCACCTCACATCGCTGTTAGACAGAAGAGCTCGGGGAGACATGATCACCACATACAAAATTCTCAGGTGAATTTACAGGGTAGACAAGGATGGATTATTTAACATGGGTGGTACTCGCACAAGGGGACACAGGTGGAAGCTGAGTACCCAAATGAGCCACAGAGACATTAGAAAGAAGTTTTTTTAGTGTCAGAGTAGTTAGTAAATGGAATGCACTAGGAAGTGATGTAGTGGAGGCTGACTCCATACACAGTTTCAAATGTAGATATGATAGAGCTCAGTAGGCTCAGGAACCTGTACACCTGTTGATTGACGGTTGAGAGGCGGGACCAAAGAGTCGAAGCTCAACCCCCGCAAGCACAACTAGGCAAGTACATTCATCACACATGATCCACATTCATCACACATAAACCACAATCATCACACATGATCCACATTCACCACAATCATCACACATGATCCACAATCAACACACATGGCCACATTAGTTGAATAAGGGAGCCTGATAGCTGAGTGGGCAGCGCTCTGGTCTCGTAATCCTCGGGTCCGGGTTCGATCCCCGGTGATGGCTATCTTGAGGTTATCTTGAGATGATTTCGGGGCCTTTAGTGTCCCCGCGGCCCGGTCCTCGACCAGGCCTCCACCCCCAGGAAGCAGCCCGTGACAGCTGACTAACACCCAGGTACCTATTTTACTAGTAGGTAACAGGGGCATAGGGTGAAAGAAACTCTGCCCATTGTTTCTCGCCGGCGCCTGGGATCGAACCCAGGACCACAGGATCACAATTCCAGCGTGCTGTCCGCTCGGCCGACCGGCTCCCTATGGCAGACACAAAATGGGCAGTTTCTTTCACCCTGATGCCCCCTGTTACCTAGCAGAAAATAGGTACCTGGGAGTTAGACAGCTGTTACGGGCTGCTTCCTGTGTGTGTGTGTGTATTCACCTAGTTGTACTTGCGAGGGTTGAGCTCTGCTCTTTCGGCCCGCCTCTCAACTGTCAATCAATCAACTGTTTCTAACTACATTTTTTTCCACACACGGGAAGCATCCCGTAACCGCTGTCTAACTCCCAGGTACCTATTTACTGCTAGGTAACAGAAGGCATTAGGGTGAAACCCTGGAAACACAAACCGAAACTGTCTCTATTTTCCGCTTGTTACAACTTGTAATAAAGTTGTTACATCTTGGCTTAACGTGTTTATGACGTATTAGAACGTTGTTACAACTTGCTATATTAGTTGTTATAAGTGGTTAGGAGGTGTTAAAACTTGTTCGAACGTTGTACCAACGTCGTAGTTTCGGTGTGTGTTTGGCGGGAAGAAACTCTGCTCATTTTTGTTTCTCGCCGACGCCGGGAATCGAACCCGGGCCACAGTTTTATGTGTCCAGAACAACCACCGGCCCCCCTGTGTGGGGGGGGGGGATAGTATTTAGTAACAGTTAATTGAGTGACAGTTGAGAGGCGGGCCGAAAGAGCAGAGCTCAACCCTCCGCCAGCACAACTAGGTGAATACAACTAGGTGAATACATGAACCACAATCATTACATAACTCACAATCCTCACACATGAACCACAATCACAATCAAGACCATATTGTTGACATATGAACATGACGACAATGTTGACATTGTCAACATATGAACAACCTGACTCGTTCCTTAGCTGAAGGGCTTAAGCTATGAAGAAAGACTGAGGAAACTGGACCTTACCACACCGGAAGAAAGGAGAGAGAGGGGGAAGGGGACATGATAACAACATACAAGATTCTAAGGGAAATTGATAAAGTAGACAAAGCACCATTATTCAAAGCTAGGAACAACAGAACGAGGAGTCATAGGTGGAAACTCGAAACGCCAATGAGTCACAGGGACATCAGAAAGAACATGCCCGAAACGCTTTGCGTAATAGTGGCTTTAGGCATTGTATGTACTAGCTCTATCTATAAAGCCAACAAACTTTGTAAAATCTCTTTATGTATGTACCTTTACCTAAATAAATATTATTATTATTATTATTATTAAATGTTCAATGTCAGAGCTGTCTATAAGTTGAAGACGTTAGATGTACAGGATTAGTCATTGAAGCTAATTTGATTCAAAGTTTAAAATGTAAATATGATAAAAAAAAACGTGAGAAATGAGTCATTGCTTTAATCTAAAAACGTTCAGAAGGCGGGGCTAGGAGCCTAGCTCAACCCTGCAAACAAAACTAGGTGAGTACAACCATCACATGAACCACACTCATTATCCATGAACCACTATAACTCATCACACATGAACCACCATAACTCATCACGCATGAACAACAGTCACTCATACGGTAACCACAATTAATATTCATGCATATCCATCAAAATGATCAAAACCTTCCTAAATCACCGCCCAACCACTTGGGCTGGACGGTAGAGTGACGGTCTCGCTTCATGCAGGTCGGCGTTCAATCCCCGACCATCCAAGGGGTTGGGCACCATTCCTTCCCCCCTCCCCCCCCGTCCCATCCCAAATCCTTATCCTGACCCCTTCCCAGTGCTATATAGTCGTAATGGCTTTGCGCTTTCTCTTGACAGTTCCTTTCCTTCCTAAATCACCTTGAGGCTAAACAACTTAAAAGCATTGATCCAGTTCACAAAAAAATCTTTAGTAGTTTTCCAGCTTCATTCAGTTCATGTGATTCAAAATTGATACTTGAAGTACAGTACACTTTGAAAACTTACAAGACCTACATGAAGGTCCCGTAAGAAGGACCATTAAATGAAGGTCCTGTAAGGAGGACCATTAAATGAAGGTCCTGTTAGAAGGACCATTAAATGAAGGTCCTGTAAGGAGGACCATTAAATGAAGGTCCTGTTAAAAGGACCATTAAATGAAGGTTCTATAACAAGGACCATTAAATGAAGGTCCTGTAACAAGGACCATTAAAATAAGGTCTTGCAATTTCTCGAAATGTACTTCAAGTACACTGTACTGTATTAATTTTGAATCACACGAGCTGAATGAAGCTGGAAAACTACTAAAGATATTTTTTTTATTTACAAACTGCTTTAGAGGTCACTCGGAACATGACTAAAGCATCCTCAACCTTCAAAACACCATTATTCAAACTCCGTTCAATTCTGGTCAGCGTTCTTTTCTATTGGTGATATACTTTATACTTTTACTTCTCGCCAATAACTTTTCATATTTATTTTCTTATTTGAAGAACCTGTTAAACTATATCCCCCCCCCCCCTTCCCGATGCATATTTTCTGATATACAGTATTGTACAGTCTAATGGCATAATTTGACCGAGATGCATAGGTTTTATCCTGTACAGCATTTCTTTTTGCTATGTATTGTAAATTTCTATGTTTTTGGTCATATATATCTTTTTCTTAAATCTGTTGTCAACTGACATTTTTTGACATTTATAAATCCTTCTCACATTACCTTTTTCGTGATCATTCATAAGCTTTAGGCGTTTTACGAAAAAGTAATCTGCGATAAATTGTTTCAACTGATCTACTGTTCTATACAGATTAGAGTTCATTATTGTACTGGACATTATATTTAAATGCAGTCTCCGTGGTGTAGTGGTAAGACACTCGCCTGGCGTTCCGCGAGCGCTATGTCATGGGTTCGTATCCTGGCCGGGGAGGATTTACTGGGCGCAATTCCTTAACTGTAGCCTCTGTTTAACGCAACAGTAAAATGTGTACTTGGATGAAAAAACGATTCTTCGCGGCAGGGGATCGTATTCCAGGGACCATAGGATTAAGGACTTGCCCGAAACGCTACGCGTACTAGTGGCTGTACAAGAATGTAACAACTCTTGTATATATCTCAAAAAAAAAAA